TCTCTCTCTCTCTCTCTCTCTCTCTCTCTCTCTCTCTCTCTCTCTCTCTCTCTGTGGTGTGTGTGTGTATGTTGAAGAGACACGGGAAACCTGACCCCTGACCCCCGTCTCTACACATCAAATCCTGCACTCTTGTCCTTGCATGGAGCCCAGAGCAGTTAGTATCCCCTTCTTCCCCCTTTTCCCCAGCATAGATGCCTCCAGCCTTTAGAGAGAGCAGACAAAAGGGAGCCTAGCTTGGCATCCGAATCCTACAATCCCTCTTTCATGACAGTACTCTCTTCTCCCCCAGCCCCCTCCAGCCCCCCCAGCAGATGCCGGCCTTGGGAAACCTACCCTAGCCTCCCAGTCGCCAAAACTCCCTCCTCTGATTTTCAAGGGCCAGCATTTCTCCAGTGCAGATGGCTCCTGCCCTTGAAAGAAAACAGAGCCAATATCCTTAAAGTGATAAAAGCCCACTCTTAAACTATAGAAAAGAGATGATTAAGTGTTCCCAGACAGCTGTGACCAGTTTGTAAAATACACTAGCTTCGGATAAAGTAATGAGTTAGGTACTTCTTCCCAGGTCAGGAAGGTCCTTTTCCAGCTGAGTGGTTCCGCCCCACTGTCTGAACAAACATTATCAAGTTCGAAGGACATTCCTTTACCCTCTCATGTAATGCCAAGGCTTAGAAACTCCCTTCACTTAGACCTGGGGGTTCACTCTCCTTCCTGTTCCATCAGGAAGCTTTGGTGGCCCAAGCTCGAACTTGAATAAAGACCCTCGTGTAATTACATTGGGTTGTGATTCCTGGTGATCTCTTTGGGGTTTTTACAATCTGGGCACAACAGGGGCTTATGTAGTATAATGATTTATTTTGTGCCTTGGCCCTTTAAAGGATCCCCAGTTGCTAGTCAACTGGCCCTTTAAGAATATTTTTAGCTATTTGAACTGCTTGATACTATGACCTTCAGTGTTGGTTGCTTCTTGGATTTTGAAGATCAGGATAGGTTTTTTAAAAGCCAGCTGAGGCAGAGATAAAGGGGTGAGGGACTAGCAGAGAGTAGAAGACAGTTGGTGCAGAAGAGTTGTTAGCCAGGAGCGGCTGAACAGAGCAGATAGGCTACAAGTTGTAGTTTGGAGCTGCTGGTATTGGGAAAACTGGGAGAAGGCAGTGTTAAGCAGACTGTTGGGGAACCGAGGGAGGAACGGTTGGGAGAAACCTTTGAAGGGGCTGGGCTGGAAACCGAGAGGAGGGCTGGTAGAGAGTTAAGGAACTGGTTATTTTTCTAAAAAAGCTAGCCATTTTACAAGTGGCACCCAATGTGGAGCAAGGCAGAAAGGGAGGTTTGATTTCAAGTACCACACAGAGCAAAAGACAGGGAAAGGAGGAATGGATAGTTTGTTCAAAAAGCCGAGGAGGAATGGATTCTTTGTTTCAAAAGATATTAGCTGAGGCTGTTGTTGGGACACGCCCTGCATGGTTTTCAGCAGCAGTTTTTTTTCCTCTCTTTTTCTTCATTTTGGGCTATTTTGTTTATTAAAAGGTTGAAAGATTGGCTGAGCACCTGGAAATAATATGGGTGCAAATGGAGAAGCTTGGGACTCAAAAAAAATGGATGAAATGGGGAAGCAAGAGGGTTCGTTCCTCTCTCTTTCTGAAAAAGCAACAGAGTTGGCTGTCCAGCTAGAGAAACCGAGACTAGAGGTGGACAAATTTGAAGGTCAGACACGAGAACAGGGAGAACAAATAGGTTCATTCCTAGAGATGGAACCAGAGAGTTTCCCCAGGTAGAAAGAGGGGAAGGAGTCAGAGGGCAGTCACGTGAAAAATGGAAAAGCAGGAGAGTGGATAGATGAGACCCACAGCACCTTTTGAGGACAGGGAGTCCTGGGTCACAGAGTCACCAATGTTAATAGATAAAGGTCAGTATGCTGATATAGAAGATCAGGTTCAATTTGAAGACCCAATCATAGAACAGTGTCACTTAGCAGATTTGAGAGCTTGGGACAAAGTTGAGGAGCCATGAAAGAAGTTCACATCCTTTACAGAGATTATACAAGGCTCAGGGGAAGCCTTCACTACTACTACTACTTCTTCTTCTTCTTCTTCTTCTTCTTCTTCTTCTTCTTCTTTTTATTATTATCTACAAAGATTAGTTTCATCTGTGAACAAAGCCATATTAGACCTTGATTTGAGATGAGTGCTAATTGAGACTTTGACATGTTAAAATGGGAATACAGAATGCAAAAAGGTCATAAGGCCATTAGGCCATTAGGTCATTAGGTCATATGGGAGAGTGGATCAGGAGACAACCATTATTGGTTCTAGGGTGTATGATGCCATAGCTAAAGGTTTTACACCTCAAAACGCATGGTGCTTTAACTGTGGAAGATAGGGTCATTTGCGAAGAGACTGTGACCAAGCCAATGAAGGTCTCAGATCTCAAAATGTCCAGGGCCTTAATTGAGGGAAATATGGTTATCTGCAAGAAAATGGTGAACACAGCATCTCTAAGGGCAATGATTTCTCTAAATATAAACCAGAAGGAAGGCCTAGGCTGCTCCATCAGGTGATACAGGCGGTGTGGCAAGGGTTGCCGTTGGACCAATGTGTGTAGGTCCAAGAGAGACATCCAAGGCAATTTCTTGCCACCAGGAAACATAATAGGTGGTCTAGCTCAAAGCCCCACAGCCTCTTGTCAGTCAGGAAATAACAAGCAGGCAGAAAAACCTCAACTAGGTATTGCAGATCTAGCTACTGTCGGCTGACTCTCTAGACTTGGCCATAGATAAACATCTTACACTATTCCCCCAAATTAAGTGTTATAAAATAACTACAGGAGTTTATGGTCCTTTGCCCTCAGGGACAGTAGGAATGGTCTTGGGAAGGAACAACTTTATTTCCCAAGGATTCATTGTGCATCCAGGAATTATAGATGAAGATTTCAAAGGAGAAATTCAAATAATGGCTTATGCAAAAAGAAATACGCACTTTACCACAGGGGATAGGATTGCTCAGCTTTTACTGTTTTCTTATATCAGAGGCAAACCTGCTCCAGTAGAAAGACCAGGAGGGCTTTGAAGTACTGTGAGTCAGAACTGAACATGAGTGATACCCAGTTAAAACGTGTGTTCTGGCAAACAGTTGTTAATGATCAGATGCCAAAATTAATGTTACAAGTGAAGGACATTGAAATAAGTTTGGTGGATACAGAAGCGGATGTAACTATCATTTATGAAAATTTCATGAATTCAGAATGGCCACTTGAAAAGTTTCCAAATGTATAAAGGGGCCCACTGTTGAGACATGCCATTGGCCCTACAACCTGTGTCAGTGCTGCAGTGGCCCTCAGCTAAGGAAAAATTACAGGTACTTGAGTAGCAGGTACAGAAGCAGCTGGAGGCTCAACATGTAGAAGAGTCCACTAGCCCTTGGAATTCCCCTGTGTTTGTTATGAAAAAGAAATCAGAAAATGGAGAATGTTAACAGATTTGAGATCAGTGAAAAGAATATTCCAACCAAAGGTTCTGTGTCAGCCTGGGTGTCCTTTGCCTTATTACCTAAGTAAGGCATAGCCTGTGATTGTAAAAGACTGCTTTTTTATTATCCCCTTGCAAGACCAAGATAAGGAAAATTTGCCTTTACACTACCTACTTACAGTAAAGGTCAACCTGTAAAATAGTATCAGTGGAATTCTTACACAGAAATGCTAAATAGTCAACTCTATGTCAATATTTTTGTGGATCAACTGCTAGAAATAATTCACATGCATCTCCTCAATCCTTTATTTACCATTACGTGGATGATATTTTGTTGGCTAATTCTGATGCAGATGCTTTAGAGAGAAAATGTTTTGTGAAACAAAAAAGAACTTTGCCTTGTTAGGGTTTGCAAATTGCTTCTGAAAAAAAAATTACAGAGAGTACATTCTATCCACTATCTAGGTTATAAAATTAGTCAACGAAAAATTCAACCACAGAAGGTACAGATCAGAAGAGTTCAATTGTGAAGTCTTAATGTTTTTCAAAAAATTTATGGTAGATAGTAATTGACTACTTCCCACCATTGGATTAACCACTCCAAGTAATTTGTTTCAAATGTTATAAGGAGATTAAGACTTAGATGGTTCAAGACAGCTAAAAAAGGAAGCAGGGAAAGAGTTAACTTTAGTCAAAAACAGTCTTTGAGATTCATATGTGGACCCCAAACTGGACAGTATTTTGGTTGTTTTGCCTTCAATTCATTCTCTTCCTGAGCTCATTATGTGAAGGGAAGATAATAAAGACTGTCTGAATTAATTATGAAAGGGAGAAAAGGTTATGTCAATTCCCAGAAATAGACCAGGCAGAAATCATAGTTCCTCATAATAATTCTGAGATAGTTCATTATGAATAATGAATGAAGATTGGCATAGAGCGTGATCCTACCTTCATCTGCCCCAGGAGATCTCAAGAACAACAATGTCTTGGTGGTGGAATCAACCCCAGAGGGAAAGACTGAGCAGGGAGAAGTGCTGAGAGAGGAGGAGGTCCTACTCTCATCCACAGACTTCAGCAAGGAACTGGAAAACCCAGAGGAGTCGGAGTCCCATGACTCCTGGACCACCCAAATGGTGAGCCCTGCCTTCTTCACCTGCTCAGTCGCTGCTCTTCCTCCTTCCACTCTGCCTCAAGTGTTTTCCTGATGTAATCTCACTGGAGCCTGAGGTTGGTTGGCTAGCTCTCAGTCACATCACAAAACAAAACAAAACAAAAAAACCCTAGTGAGCTCTGAGCTTATCAGAGAATGGAGGGGACAGCACAGAACTGGAGGCTAGACTCTAGGGTCCAGAGAGTGGGAGCGCACTTGAAGAAATTGATGTGATCTTCTAGCAAAGAAGGAAAAAAGTCCAAGCCAAGGCCAGAGTACCTGTCATCAGAAAAATGTCTTAAAATAACAAAAAAGCCTCAGGATATGACAAACACTGATGGATGACAGTCTGTAAAAATCACCGCAAGGGTGTGGCGGTGGTGCCTCCCTGTGATCTCAGCACTCAGGAGGCAGAGGTGGGATCAAGAGTTCAGGTTCAATCTTGTCTACTGTAGTGAGTTTGAGGCCAGCCTGGGCTACAGTGAGACTGTGTTTCAGCCTCTCTCTGTGTACCTGACCCATCTGTGCCTCAGGGCTAACATTCGTCTTAGAGACACCACTAGGTGGCAGTTATCCTACTTGCAGTGGCCACTCCAGAACCAGGTTCATCCTACAGGATCTGGCCTGTGCACAAACGAGGAGAGCAATCTTCAAAAGACTGCATGCTCTGTGGCTCTACCATGAGTCTAGCCCAGAACAAAGCTCAGGTGGTATCAGTTTGCTCAAAGGAAATGCTGAGGAGAAGGTGCCAGAGCAGAGAAGAGGGTTCAGGGCCGGGTGGAAAAACAGAAGGGGAGACATGAGCTTGTCTTTTAGGCAGTCAAGGGCAGGCCTTGCCTTCATGACTTCCTGCCCACCCAGAAGCAAAGTTCAATTCTAGCATGACTCAAAGACCCTCCTAGCTGGCTCTTAGTCTTACGTCCCTCAGCCAATCATGAGATGGAAGATCTGGGGTGGAGTGTGTCTCCACAAATGGTCTCAATAGCATCTGGGGCCAGAGGACCCAAAGAGGGGAAGGTCTGGTTCAGACATGGTGGGATGTGGGCAAAGTAGGGTGAAGAGGAGCGGAGACTCAGGACTTGACAGTAGGTCAAGGGGCAAAGAGAACATGGGTGTCAGCAGACTGGTTCTCACCTGTTTCTCCCTTAAATTGATTTTCTGAAAATCCTTTTTCCCCAAACTGACTGTGTACTTGAGAATGACTCTGAACTTGTAATCCTCCTGTCTCTAACTCCCCAGTGTTGTACCTGCTGGGATAACAGATACACGCCAGTATATCCGGGTCATATGGTCCTGGGGACTGAACCCAGGGCCTCGAGGATGGTAAAGATTACTGATACATCTTCAGGTCCACTTCTGTTCTCTGGGACACAGTACTGGCTGCTGGTTCGTAGGCCAAGAACTCACTCTCTAAGGTGCCCACAGAGCCTTTTAGCAGGCTCACATGGGACCTAACCACAGGAGCAGATGCACACCGATTCTTTGTGTTCTTTTCCCAGATAGTGTAGCTCAGTGCCTAGCTGCCGCTGTTGGTCTACAGTAGGGCCTTGTCACACACTATTGGGGTTCAGGACATCCTGAGGCACTTGATACAGGGACTCTAACGACTACCCAGAACATCATATCCTCGGAAACTGGGGTTCTGACAACCTGCTCCTAGGCTTCGGCCAAGTTCCTAAGGTGGGAAGCCTTGCCTGGGAGTCAGGGTAAGTCACTCAGTGAGCCAGGGAATACCTGCTTTTCACCCTTGTCTTAGGATTTGCATTGACCAAGGTAACTCTTCTAAGGACAACATTTAATTGGGGCTGGCTTACAGGTTCAGAGGTTCAGTCCATTATCAAGACGGGAACATGGCAGCATCCAGGCAGGCATGGTGCAGGAGGAGCTGAGAGTTCTACATCTTCATCCAAAGGCTCTAGGAGCAGACTGGCTCCTATGTGGTTAGGAGGAGGGTCTCTTTGACCACGCCCACATCAACACACCTACTCCAACAAGGCCACACCTCCAGATAGTGCCACTCCCTGGGCTGGGCATATTCAAACCACAGCAACCCTCCTTTTAGCTCACTGGCATCTTGTGCCATGCAACGCATTGGTGTCATGTGTAGGAAGCCTGTGGATGTTGCTAATGTCCAAAAGGGGCCCCAGGTGTATCCCATCGGAAGTGAGTCTGAGTGAGACTCGTGCTCTGGCAGAAGGACGTGTGTGACCCTGCCTCCTGATTCCTCGACTCTCTCACCCTCTCCCTTTGCTCAGTTCTTCTCTGCCCAAGCTAAAGATGTTGGCTCAGAGGTTAAGAGCACTTGTGGTTCTTGCAAAGGACCCGGGTTCGATTCCCAGCACCCATATGGAGGCTCACCCCTTCCTTGGCCACCAGGCACACATGTGGTGCATAGACATACATGCAGGCCGAACTGTCCTAGATACAAAATAATAAAAAGATGCTGCAGATGTAGTAGGTCTAAGGCACAGTTTGGATAGCCAGCTCCGCCTACTTGAGGGTTTGTACTGGAGCCTGGAGAGGAATGCAGGGATCGTGGGGTCTCTAAGGAGTGAACAAATATCTCTGTTTAGAGTAAAAAGGAGAAGAGGAGGAAGAGGCAGGGCAGCATTTCTTCCTCAGAGGCACCTTCCTCTGGCCTCTGGAGTCTGGACATGCCTTCAAGCCCTGGATCCCACGACTCAGCCTTGCCCCAGAACCAAGCCCAGCAGGATGGTGCGGCCAGCCAGCCTGGGCATTCCCTGGACCCAGAGAATGTGCCAATGGAGAAAGATGGCTCTGTGCATGCCGAGGGCAGTGACAGCCCTCAGCAGGGTCAGGTTGCAGAAGGCACAGATGCTCAGAGCAACCTTGTTCCCAGTAACCACACAGAAGTGAAGGACCTCAATATCTCTAAGCCATCAGTGGACAAGGGCCTGGGCCTAGAAGGGGGCCCAGCCCTTTCAGCCTTCGGAGGCCTCCCTAAGATGACTGATGCTTCCCAGAAGGCCCCATTACCTGAGTCTAAGGGGGAGACATGTGGACAAGAGGAGAAAGTGCTGGTGAGTGTGAAACAGGCAGGAGGTGAGCTGCAGGGGATGGGATTGTGGGGTGGGGCATGTTTTATGCTCTCGGCTGTGTCTTTCAGGTCAGATGTATCTACCCTCTCTGGGATTTGCTCCCTGGACAGTGCAGGGCAGGGTTTCCTCTCAGTTACTCCCCTATGGCTGGAGCCTACTGAAGCCAGAGCCAAAGCATTTCATTTCATCACTCTGACTCAAGGCTTGGGTGGTCTCTGTTTCTTCCAGCCAATTGATGCTGCAGGCAATCCGGTGAAGAAAGCTGGGAAAGAAACAAGAGACGATGTTCAGAAACAAAAAACATCACCTGTGAGCACTGCTGCCTCTAAGGATGGAGACCAGGTAGAGGTTTGACTTGCTAAGAGGTGTCTAGCATGCAGGTCTCCTCTTGTGTCTTGTGTCAGTCATGGCTTCCTCAGCCTGTTATCCCTGGATGACAGCCCAGTGTTTATGAAGATGTCATGTGGGAGACAGAGCCTGTCTCCATGGAGCTCCCATGCTAGAGAGAAGTAGGGAAGGTCCTGAGAAGTTCCTGGAAGGGTCCTGGGGGTTATTCTGGTTGGTGTCCTGAGAAGAGGTAGCTCCATCAGCTTGGGTGGCTGGGGAGGTAGTGTGGGAGCAGAAACCAGAAGTGAAGTTTGAGCCATAGACACTGGAAAGTGCCCTGACAGGGAGTGGCATGTGCCAATGGAGAAGGATGGCTCTGTGCATGCTGAGGGCAACGGTAGAATGTGTTGGGCCTGTTCTTCAAGATGAGGGATAAGGTTGAAGAGAGAGAGGCTCCTGCATGTCATGGTTGGTAGACCAGAAGGCTCTGACAGGTCCTGAGCAAGGACATGCCCCCGGTGCTATGAGACACATCTTGTTTTAAGCACTGGGACTGAATTGCTTGTTCCAGGAAGCTGAACTCAAGGGCAGGTTGGCCACCCCTGTCAGGAAGAGTAGTGAAAGTGGGAACGCCCAGCCAGAAGATCAGAAGAAGCCAGGAGAGAACAGAAATTATGCAGCAGCCACGAAAAACAAGAACCAGCAGTCTGCTGCACCAGAGGCTCCAGGGTAGGATGTGGGCCCTTGCCATGTGCCGTGTTGTGGCTCTGCCAGCTTCCTCAGCTTCGGTGCAGCTCCTGTCAGTGCCCTCCTGAGACACGAGCCCCAAGTCCTCCCTTCCTGAACCCTAGGCCTCATAGTCAATGTGATCCTAAGGAACTGTCCCGGATGAAGTCACACTGCTATTCTAGCCCATCCCACTCCCACTATCCGGAGCATGCTGGGGCCAGGTCGTGCCTCCTTTCATGTGGGGAGGTGCAGTGGCCTGCTGGGTCCAGGTGTCTGAATCTGAATGGCTGGCACATGCACTTAGGTGTTTTGACACACAGCAGAAACATAAGGATGCTGTGTGTGCACAAGTGTGTGTGCATGCCTGTATGCATGTACATATAAGTGTGTGCACCTAATGTGTGTTTCCTTCTTGCTCTTCCCAGTGCACTTAACCCATGGGATAAAGTCACTGTGCACTTCCACGCTATTGTTTCCCATCACTTTGGATTCAATCCAAACGAGCACAGAGTGTGTGTCAGAGGGGGAGACGGACTCGGGCAGAAAGGCTGGACTGATGCTTGCAAGATGTACTACACCCAGTGAGTATCCAAGGGCTTGGAGCTGTCACTGTCCCTCACAGGGCGTCTGTCAGTAGTCATTTGACAAAGGTTGTGTGCACCCTTCCCTTCCATCCCTTCCTTTGCTTTCTTTGCTTTTTTCTTTTGTTTTGGCTTATTTATTTGAAATAAGGTCTCATTCTTTTGCCCTGGTTAGCCTGGAACTCACAATAATCCTCCCGCCTCATCAGCCTCCTGAGTTTGAGATTATAGGTATGCACCATCAAGATTGGCAGAAAATGTTTCTGTTTCAATTTTTTGAGACAGTGTTTTTCTGTGTGGCAGTCCTGGAATTCAATCTGTAGACCAGGCTGGCCTCAGACTCACAGAGATCCGCCTGCATCTGCCTCATGAATGCTGAGATTAGAGGTGTGAGCCACCACTGCCCGGTTTGAAAATGAGTGTTCCAGATTCCTTTTCCAGCATGCATTTGTTTCTGGGTTCTGGCTGGAAATGCCCTGTTCTAAAAATACTAAAGCCTTGGGGCTGGGCTTTCCTGTCGTGTCCTCTGGTGAATGGCTATATTATGTTCCTCCACAGAGACCTGGATGACCTCGGTTCTCTCATCGAGGGCAAAATGGACATTCCCAGACAGAACCTGGACAAACCCATCCCTTATAAGTATGTCATTCACCGTGGTGGCAGTGGCAAGGATACCGTGGAATATGAGTTCATCTATGAACTGCCACAGAAGAAAGGAGAACATGTGAACCGTTGTCTGCAGGTTGCCTCTGCTCTCTTGGGCAGAGGAGGTAAGCTGTTGAGAGCCCTAAGTGGTTCGGCTCCCTGGCTTCTTGGGGAGCAGACATCAGGGTTTGGGTCCTCTGCTTGGCCCTGGCCCTGCCTCTGTCTCTTTGAGGGGTAAAGTTGCCTTTGGAAGCTGGTTTGACTTAACCCCCACTGTGTGAGGAAAGCAGGGAAAGTGCTTATTAAGGAGCCAGATAGGAGGAGCTCTGTTGAGCTCTGGCTGGGAAAGAGTGCCCGGGGTGGAGAGGGCAGGAGGGGCAGTGGTCTAGCTCTTCCCAAACTGTCATAAGATGGCTGTGACGGTGATGTTTCAGAGAAGGGCCAAGAGTCTTTTTCATGCTTGTCGTTTGTCATCCCCACATGGTGCTTCTCTGTCTTTATGCCGCTTGCATCTGGCTGGAGATTTCAGAAGGTCCTTCGTTATTCTGATCAGTACCCTCTTCAGCCTTGTGGCCATGTGTCCTCCTTCCACGGGCCACAGAACTGTTGAGGAATTGCCCAGCCGTGTGCCACAATCACATCTTGTCCCTTTTGTCAGAGGCCAGAGTCTTGAGTTATTTTCCTACTTAGTGCAGTTTTTGAGTTGCTGAAGCAACACTTGGGGCAGGGGTGTGTGCCTGTAGGGTGGGGGAGACATGTGGAGTCCCTGCTGAGCCTCTTCACCACCCTGTGGCTTTACTCAGTGTAGCTTTTGTTTTTTCTCAGTACTGAGGACAGAACCCAGAATCTCAGCATTGACATAACTTTAAAAATATTGTTTATTTGTGAGTATGGGTGCATGTGCATATGCATATGTGTGTGTTTACACCACAAGAAGCCAGGCCATGCTTGTGGAGGTCAGAGGACAATTTATTAGGCGTGACAGCCAGAACCTTTATCAACTGAGTTGTCTCCACAGATCCCATAATTAAAACAAAAAAAAGTATTTTTAAAGATTTTATATATTTATTTTATAGTAGTATACCGTAGCTATTTTCAGACACACCAGGAGAGGGCATCAGATCCCATTACAGATGGTTGTGAGCCACCATGTGGTTGCTGGAAATTGAACTCAGGATCTTTGGAAGAGCAGTCAGAGCTCTTAACTGCTGAGCCATCTCTCCAGCCCTCCCATAATTTTATTTTTTAAAGACAAGATTTGACTATGTTACCCAGGCTGGTCTTTAATTTTTTTTTTATTTTTACTTTTTGAAAGTCGGATTAATTTTTTATTTTATGTGTGTGTGAGTGCTTATATATTCTGGGGGAGGGGTGTGTGTGTGTGTGTGTGTGTGTATGTGTGTGTACATTGCCAAAGTCAGCAGAGAGCTAAATCAGACAATGTTGGCAAAGAGAACACAGTATTCCTCAGACACAGCTGCTTGAAGACTTGGGTCTCCTTAAACCTCTCTGGAGCCACTGGCTCAGCCGTGGACTGGCTCTGCCGTGTCCACTTCTGGACAAGGACACAAAACTAAACTTTTCTTTGTCCTTTCATCGGGGCCTCTGAGAAAGTCTTGGGTTGTTCTGGCTCTTCATGTTCATGGATATGTGTATGTGCATCACGTGTGTGCCCAGAAGCCAGAAGAGGGCATCAGATCCCCTAGAACTGGACACATAGGCTGTTGTGAGCCATCACATGGGTGCTGGGAGCCAAACCATAGTCCTCTACTAGAGCAGCCAGCAAAGCGCCCTTAACTACTGAGCCATCATTCAGCCTTTTTTTTGTATTTTTAAAGATTAGCCTAGCTGGGCGGTGGTGGCACACACCTTTAATCCCAGCACTTGGGAGGCAGAGGCAGGTGGATTTCTGAGTTTGAGGCCAGCCTGGTTTACAGAGTGAGTTCCATGACAGCCAGGACTACACAGAGAATCCCTGTCTCGAAAAACCAAATATAAATAAATAAAATAAATAAAAATAAAGATTGACCTTGGCTGTATAGTCAAATACGACTCTGGTTCTCTTCCTGCACCTGTCAATCACTGGGATTGCTCGTGTGCTTCTGTCTTCCATGTTTATATGCTGCAGGGGATCCAGGTCTTTACATGTGCTAAAGCAACCACGTTGCCAGTGAGCTACACCCCAGGGTTCACATTCTGACTTTGGACTGCACAGGTACACAGGCTTGTGCTAGCCGACAGTGAGCTGACCATCTGGGTTTCCTGCCCCTGGCTGTTGTTCTCCTACATTCTACCTGGGAGACCAGGCCTCAGAGATTTGGAGCTCACTCATGTAAAATAAATGAAATATTCTTGTATGTACTAATTAATGCTGGGAATTAAAATGGCCGTAGTTATTCCTTAACCAGCTAGTTCCCCAAATAACCACACAGAGACCTTTTAGTATTAGAGCTGAGGCCTTAGCTGGGCAGACTCTGGGCTAGCTCATCTAAGTTAACCTGACCACCTAGCCCCTCCAAGCTAGATGCTAGCCATACCCTCCAGGCCATAGCTCCTCTGTCTCCCCTTATGTCTCCCAGTGAAAAAGCCCTTCTTCTTTCTTCTTTCCAGAGTTTCTATCTCCGTCCCTGGAAGTCTGGCCACCTCTCTACTTCTCGGTCACAGGCTTTAACTTTTTATCGACCAATTAATTCAGGAAACAAAGTTTACACAACAAAAGCTGGTGTGGTGAGGATTCCCTCTTGGGGCAACCACATCTACTAGTCAGAACTTAGCATTTGAATGCATAGTGGCACCGAGCCAACTCCAACACCCATATGAGCTCCTTCTGTTCCCTCAGACTGGCATCAGTACGATGACATAATCTACATGAAGTCTCCTGGGTGGTTCCAGCAAGCCAAGAACCGCATCACTGATGGCACTAGAAAGGAACTGGTGAGAGGAAAGAAGCAGGCTGCTGTGGTCATGCTGGACCGCATCTTCAGTGTGCTCCAGCCATGGAGTGCCACCAACCTGCAGAGCTTCATGGCTCAGTTCCGGCAGTTCTACTCTGTGGTCGGAGAGCCCAAGATTCACGAGGGCTGTGCAAGAAATTGGTCCAGTCTGCAATATGAGGAGAAAGAGGTACCCACTTACCACTGTTAACAGCAGCTCTGGAGTAGACAGGCAGTGTCCCTTGACCAACTAGAGGCTAGATGACCCCTGGACTGAGTGGGCTAAAGACATATGGAGGGTAAGAGGACCTCATGCCCTCCTCCTCCTCAAAGGGTTCCCCTGTGCACCACCTCCAGGATTTGTCCTGGTCTCTCAGAAAGGGCAGGCTCCTTATTACACCTTACCTACACTGTGGTGTGGCTTTCTCTAGGATACCTCCTCCCCATGTCCCCACCCTGCAGGGCTGGGGACTGAGCTTCTGTGCTGAAGCAGGGGAGAGGTAAATGAGGTGCTCCTTGGCATGCTCTGGTGTCTCGGTCGGTCCCTGACAGAGTTACCCAGCCTCTGAGTTTGCCCTTCATGCTCACACATTTTTCCCTCCTGGGACCAGGTGAGGATGAACCTGTGGGAGCACGTGAAAAAACATATGGTCCTGGAAGGAAAAAGTTGGGAGTCTCTGCCTGCCAACTGCCCTGTGAGGAGTAAGCTGACGTTGGGCCTGAGCATCCTTTTCATGGTGGAACAAGTTGACTTTACTGTATCCAAAAAGGACCTGGACTGTCTGTGCTCTCTCCTCATTCCGAGTGCTGGCTCACCAGAAGCCCTCCATAGCGACCTGGGCCCTGTCCTCAGCATGCCTCAAAAGTATTTCCTGTTTATTTCTTATTGTATGTGTCTGGGTGTTTCACCTGCGTGTATGTTTGCACACCGTGTGTATGCCCGGTGCCCATGGAGGCTGGAAGAAGGTGTTGGATCTCCAGGAAATGGAGTTACAGACAGCTGTGAGGCACCGTGTGGATACTGGGAACTAAATCTGGGTCCTCTGCAAGAGACACAGTGCTCTTAGCTGTTTAGCCTTCTCTCCAGCCCCAGTATCTACTTTTTTGTGATAGAGCCTTACTACGTAGCCCGGGCTGCTCGGACTCATGAGATGTCTGCCCTGGGCTTGCTGAGTGCTGGGCTCTGGCTGTGAGCCAGCACGCCTGCTCATGGAGCTTTGGGTAGTGCGGCAGTCCCAGGTCTGTGTCCCATGTGCCTGGCGGGCTGAGATGTGGGAATCCTCTGAGCCTATGAATTTGAAGCCAGACTGGGCCTCTCAGTAAAGGGGTACACAGCACGAGATGAGCTTTCAGTGCTTGCACACGGAAGCCTCAGGGATGTGTTTCCTCCAGCCCTCCCTGGGCCACCCAGATTAGGAAGCAGATTTGGAGGCAACCTCCATGAGCACAATGACCCTGGCTTGGGCCTTCACAGCAGCATCTGAGGCTGGTGTGATAGGTCTTGAAGTCACATCAGGCGGCCTTCCCTGAGCGGCTGTTGCATGGCTTCCTGTGTTTTAGACATTCCCTCAGCTGTGCAGTGTAGATGGAGAGGGCTCTGGTAGGAATCTGCTCTGGGGATTTGTTGAGGGCTGCTTTAGGAGTGGGGCTGGAATACCCTGTCTTTCTTATGACAGAACCACCTCCTGGTGTGGACCCTGTCCAGCCTTACATGTACAGTGTCCCTTGAGCTCTGCAGGTGGTGGTCACAGACCACTGGACAATCCTCCCCTCACTGGCTCCTTCATTCCCTTCTAGATGGTGTGCATACTTGACAAACCTATGCCATAGGTGCATAGACAAGAGGTGTGACCGCTGGCTGGGTATCTTACCTCTCCTGCACCACTGCATGCAGCAGTCTCCACCCAGAAAGAACTCCAAGAGCCAGCCCGAGGACACCTGGGCAGGCCTTGAAGGCATCCCCTTCTCAGAGTTTCGGGACAAAGCACCTACTGGGTAAGCTGAAGAGTTGCACATCTGACAACAATCCGAGATCCACAGGTTGTGCACTGCAGGCTTCACACTACAGGCTGTGCACTGAGCCTGTCCCCACCTTGAAGGACAGCGGGAACAAGAGTCCTTTAACATCAACATAGTTACGAAGAAAAATTTAACTGTCAGCAGGCCCAGAGCCGGGGCTGTGTGCATTTCAGTGCCAATGACAACACAGGTGTTTCGTGTGCTTTAGGGGTACTGGTGAAACTGGGTGGTGGTGGTGGCACACACCCTCAATCCTGGCACTTGGGAGGCAGAGGGAGGTGGATCCCTGGGTGTGAGGCCACCCCTGTTTTGAAAAACAAACAAACAAACAAAAAGTACTGGCTGCAAGCCAAGCTGCCAATTATTTATTTTATTACAACCTACTATTGTTACCGTCTAGTATTTTGCTGCCTATTAGGTTGGTCATGTGCTCTTGGGGTAGGATGATGCCAGCCTTGACAGGGGTGCCCTAGCTTTGCTGCAGCCATGCCCCTGTTGTCATTAAGGCATTTCTGATTTTTATATAGTAAGGTGCTTTGATAAGCATTGATTCTATTCTCTGCCTAGGTGTGTGTGTGTGTGTGTGTGTGTGTTTTGGGGCTCAGAGGAAAACCATGGTCCTTCCATGTTGGGGTGATGTCTCTGTTTTTCTCTCAGTGTGTATGTCCAGGTGGCCATCCTGACTAAGCCAGTTCAGTCAGTCAACAGGTTCTCCAGGGCGAGCGAGGATTAAAAACAAAAAGACACTTAGACAACACTGTAGCATGACCCCAGCCAGTTCTGAGGTCAAGGCAGATTGATTTTTTTTCCCAATCTGCTTTTATACCACTTTAATTACATGTAAGTAATAAGGTCAGTTCTAGGTTAAGAAACATGAAAGACAATAAACACAAATAGTCAAGGAACAAGCAAGGTAATAAACAAAGTCCCGATATCAAGATTGCTGTTTCTAAGGGCTCATCAGGATGACCAAGATATCTGAGCCTACTTCCCTGTCCTAGCCCAAAGTCATATTCTTGCCTGATATGCCGACTTCTTTGTTCTGCCCCAAAATCAGATTCCTGCCTGGCTTACTTGCCTATTTTGGCCTATTATCAGATTCCTGCCTGAAGCCGACTTGCTTGTCCTGGCTCAATGTCAAATTCTTGCCAAGTGGTCCCCAAAACTTTCCACACCAGCCCACGATTTTCTAGGCGTTCTCCTGTTTGTACATCTCCTCTCTCCACAGGATCCAGCGCTGGGACTACAGATGCCCATGCTATGAGTCTGGCTTTTATAGATATTTGAACTCAGGTCCTCATACCTGCACAGCAAGCATATTCACACCCAAGCCATCTCCCCCAGCTCCTGCCTTGCTGTCTGGGACAAGCTGAGCTGACGGGGAGAAGGCTCTGATGCTGGCCTATGCAGACCCAAAATGGTAGTGTATTCCACACAGGGGTCTCCTTTCTGGCACAAGAAAATCTTACAGAAGTTCCATAGGAAACTTAGATTCAAGGCATCAAATCTATACTTTTTTCTATCTTTTCCCTTCCCCCCTTTTCTCTCTCTCCCTTCCTCGAATTCCTTCCCTTTCCCTCATACTGGAGAGGGAACCACGGGCTTAACATGGTAGGCAGGTGTTCTCCACTGGGCTCTGTCACAGATGCTTATGTACCACAGTGGCAGGTGCATTTCAACATCACGGTGCCCAGCTATGTAACGACACATCAAATAGTCTATTGTTGTGGTTCATTTTTTCCCTCACTCCATGGGGGAGGCACTTCAGGCTGATAGGGCTTCATTCTTCATCCAGTAATGGTTTATACCTCATGCTGGCGGTGGCAGGAAGTATTCAGAGGCTGGGATTCGTCAAACTGTAGTTTGAGGAAAGCCCTCATCCAGCCTACTTCCCGTACGCTGTATGTATCTCATGAGAATAGCTGCACTATTTCTTCTTATTGTGTCCTGTTTGTGTGTGCGTGCATGTGTGTGTGTGTGTGTGTATACAAGTGCACGCATATGCATGTGTTAAGTTCATATATCTTTGTTAAGGTGTAGTGGGAGGTATTAAAAAGAAGAACTGGGACTCTCAGGCTTCCTGGCTCTGCCACCATCCAAGTTCCCACTCTATGCCCAGCACCAGCTAGTCATCTTAGTCTGCTGGCCCAGGGGCCCCGAGATGTTGGGTAGTCCCTGCCTCCATGGGCCGCCAACCTCGTGGTTAGATATCACAATACCCATTAACCCGGTAAAATCAAAACTCTTAAAGCTTATAGTTGACCAATCAGATTTATATATCAGCAAATACTCAAATCCCAAGATGTCTACACAATAATTTCAAGTCCAATAGATAATGGTACAAGCTGCCCACCAAGAATATTACCCCAACCATCCCATCCCTGTATGAAATCATATCTACCTATGGCTATTAAAGCCATGCTGGTTCAGGATCTTCTCCATGCCTGTCTTCTCTCTTGATTTCTTCGTCCTCTCTCCCCTTGAATCCCCTCCTACTCCCCTCTGCAACTCTTAGCTCTGTCTGCCTTTTCCTGTCCAACCGCAGACCTCCTGATGCAAACAGATCGTGCAAACAGGGAAATTCCTGCCACAGTAAGGATATGGCAGTGTGGGTACAATTTGAATTTTTTGAAAAGCCTGTGACACTAAGTAGAACACTAACTTAGAAGAAAATGTATTTTTACAAAACTCTCCCCCGACCTGTTAGAAAGCACCCTCACTGCCGCCAGCTGCTGGAACAGCTGTCTTGCATTTGGATCCATATTTTCAGCTTCCAATGTCCTTACGTTACTGAGTATAGGTTATTTGATAGAACACAAGTTAAGACCTCAAGTGACCCTGAGCACAGTCAACTGTTAACTCCACTTAGCCTGGTCAGGGATGGGTGTAGCTCAGAGAGTGACAAACAGCGCCTGTACTCTGTCTGGGAGGTGGCCAGCGAGCACAGTGGTAACTTTATGATCAGGCTTGGAGCAAGTCCCATGTCCCCTGCCATGATGCCCAGGGCACAGTCTGCTTCCACCAGAGGAGAAGGCTGCTGTCTTTCCCAGCACCTTAGGGAAAACAGTGGTGTGTTGTGCTGTGGGACGTCATGGTGAACCTTGGCCTCTGTGGTGGTGCTGCTTGTGGGGTCTTGGGTAAAAATGTGTACAGGGGTGAGGACCATGAGCAGCCTATAGTATGTGGTGACAATGGCCATCCAGTGGTGGTCGTGTGGGGCTAAGAGCCAAGACAGCTCTTGGATCAGAGCCTGCTGCAGGCTGGTTACAGTGACAGGGATGAACCATTTGGGTCTCAGTTTCTGCCAAGTGAATCCACACAAAGCTGGACGCTCTGTCCAGTTCTGCCACTGATTCGGTACAGGATGAAGGAGCGAACCCGTCATGGTCTAGAGGGAATGGTCCAGTAGTTAGCTTACTCCTTGACTTTTGTTTCCCATGAAGCATTGCAACCCTTAAAATCAGAGCCTCCTGCTCTGTCTTCCTTTGTGTGAGTCCCGACTGCTGCCATCTCACCATGTCTTGGGTTGTCTTTCCTCAGGAGCCAGGCTCTCCAGTTCATGCAGAATAAGATGGCCCTGCTGCATGTGGATGAGTACCTCTTCCGCTCCTGGTTCAGCTTGGTCCCCCTTGAAAGCTTAAGTTCCTACATGGAGAACTCTGCAGAATACCTGAGTCACGTGCCCACTCGGGTCCTGGACTGTTTTCAAGGGATTTCATACCGCCTTCAAGGACTCGGGAGGATCTCACACCAAAATATGAAGGTGTGTTGTGGGGACAGGTTGGCAAGTGCTGGCTTAGTAAGAACAGGTTAACTGCTACAAGGCTGGGAGCACTCAGTGGTCGAGTGCTCACTTCATGAGTAAAAGCCTGGGTCTCATCCTCTGCACCACAAGCCAAAAGAAAGAAAGAGAAGTAAGTGGGTGTGGGGGGCTGGGCGAACAAACAAACACACAAATGCATGCATGTATGTATGAGAAAGGGACGGGTAGACTTAGTCAGACGTAATGACATTGGTTTAGCTAGGTGTGATGAGGTTTCCTATGGGCAAAGATGATGGTTCATTTGCCACACAAGCATGAGGATTTGAATGACTGGAACCACACTGAAACCCAGGACACTGCGGCCTGCACTTTTGCAGTGGGCAATCCTTGTTTACTAGCCAGTCTCACTTAGCTGCTGATTTCCAAGCCAATGAGACACTGTCTCAGAATCAAATGGATGGCTTCTGAGTAAACAGTCTACTACACACACACACACACACATGTCGGCATGCTCAGAAAGCAGTGTGATTTTGTATTGTGACTTTACTAATGTGAGGCAGAAGAGTATCTGTTTTGAATCAGTGCTCTGGGTGTACAGAAGCCTTTTCTTGGCTCAGTCTCCACAAATGCAGCCATGTTGAGATGACACCCTCCCTTCTCTTCACTGTTTTAGGATGTCAAGAAGGTCTTTAAAATGCTGATACAACATATGGAAATGTATCAGGACAGGTAAGTGGGGAGGCCAAGGGCAGCCTTGTCTTCCACACAGCTCTGGGAAGAATGGTGGCTGCCCCTGCTGGCCACAACTTCCTGCAGACATGCTGCCTCACCAGGGAGACTGCAAACCAACACCACGCTTTCCACGCTGTGAAGCAATGGGTATCCAGCTCTGGATGCTGAAGGTTTGCCCCTGCTCCATTTGCCATGTGTCACTGTACTTATCCGAGTCTGGGCTTCCATCAGGAGGCAAATCAGATGGAAAAGTCAAATGTGATTGTATTACTTACAGTTCCCCTGGCTCTGATGAGGAGCCTAGCAAAGGCAGCTGGAGGAAGGGTGTGTTCTCCCTCACTGTTGGAGGGCTCCAGTCTGCACTTCTGGGGAAGCCCTGGCAGAGGAGCAGGAAGCAGGGCTTGCATTGCATCCGTAGAAGTCAGATCTTTTTTTGCTTCAACTTCAGTCTGCAGCTGGCATAAGTTGGAGTCACAGAGAGTTGTCCTGCTGGGACCCAGACTTTGGGTCCTCTTACAGCACAGCAAGTGCTCTTGACAATGAGCCCTTTCTCTAGTTCCTGTCCCATTTTCCTTTTGCAAACTGTGGATTGAACCCCACATGTCAGGCATGCTGAGCAGTTGAACCCCTGCTTGCCCCATGTACAACACACAGTAAACATGAACCTGCAGATGTAGGGAGGGCCAGGAGACATCCCACACAGAGGACCTGCTCTTTTTTGTTGTTGTTGTTGTTTTAATTTAACCTTTTTCTCCCACCCACACCTGCCCCCTTCTCATTTCTCAACTATTTTAATGATTTCTCTGACTTTTTTGGGTAGAATCTTTGGGGAGAGCCTGCCACAGATATACTTGACTGAGTGTTTGACCCTCCATGAAACTGTCTGTAAGATCACAGCTGACCAACAGTTCTACGAGATTCCTGCCCTGTCTGCCGAGCTCATCTGTGAAATGCTTACACTCAGCTCTTCAGAGGTGAGTGGGACCTTGTTGTCTCACACTGTATTGGAGGTGTGGGCTTCTGGTAACCTCAATTTGAAAGGGAATCCGGGCTGATTCAGCCATGAGGGAGTTGGCTGAGGCCCTGTTCCAGCTAGCTCTCTCTGGGATGAAGGCAGCACTGGTGCTTGGGTTGGAGGGAGAGAGGGAGTTTATGGTAGTCTGGGTTGGTAGACAGAACTTCCGATGCCCAAGGGCAAGCTACAGAGCAGGACTGCACCCTCAGCTTGGTACTTCTTTCCCACTGTTGACCGGAAACACTGGGGACCATCCTAGCCCTGAGCAGTTTCACTCCGTGTTTTCCCCTTGGGAAATTTATATTTAACTTAAAGGGAGGAGCAAAGTTGGTGTCCCTTGCAGCTGTCCAGTGTAGCTGCACCTTCACCAGCTTGCAGCTCTCTGGCCCCTCGTCCTCTGTGCTTTAGGGAGCGAGCTGCATTACATGTCTGCCACTTCAGATCTCTGTACCTCTCTGAACTTGATCCTTCTTGTCACCTCCGGCCACCTTGTGCAGTTGAGACAATGTTCTCTCATGGTTGTGTCACTCGCCCGATTGAGTCTATCCGCCTCCATTTGAAAATGCTAGAGGGCCTTTTCACTGACTCTTTCTTCACACACAACTCTGAATTTATCAGTGGGAGATAATTAAATGTATATTTTAATGTTATTCCTTATAGTTTTTCTTTTCAGAATTTATACTGTGTGTGTATGCATGTGCATTTACATGTGTGTCTGTGTGTGTGTGCGCACACACATATTCATGACAGAACGATAGAGACAGACAGAGAAACAGAGACCACACCATGGCATGGATCTAGAAGTCAGGACTACTTGTAAGAGTCAGTTTTCTCCTTCCATCACATGGGTTCTGGGGATCAAACTCAGGTCATCAGGATTGAAGGTGAGTATAGATTTTGTAATCCCTCTCTCCTGTGTCTGCAGCATACTGATGAGGGGCAGGCTGCAAAACCTTATGAAGAGCTGGTGACAACCACCTTCCAGGACGCCCTGGACACCACAAGAAAGTGGCTGCGCAACGTGTTTACAAGCCGCATGTTCTCCTGCAGCTCAGTCACCGTCCGACTTACCTATCCTAATGAGATGGCGGTAAGCCTTCCTGGGAGCTGAGAAACTGCCAAAGGCTTATATACTGTGGACACAAGGGACTGGGGACTGTCACAACTGACCCAAGAGCTGTGATCATGGCCTGAACTCTAGCCAGGGATTTCTTTCTGTAAAGAAGGGACTTTGACAATGCGTGGCCAGACTCGAAGTGTTGCCAGGCCTGGCTGGGCCCGGGGCCCCTTGCTGTGAGGTGATGGGGATCCAGTGTCAGGAATGCTGCTTAAAGCTGGGGATGTGGGAGGTGACCTTGGAGCTGTAAGCTAGGTGTGTGACATTGAAATGGACAGCGGAGGGAAGGAAGGAAGCTCTTCTGAGGGGAACCAGTCAGATGTACCTGCAGAAAGGCTGGGAGGCTACAGTCCTGCAGATGGGTTTGGGTTTGGGCAGTGTGGTTGACAGTTGCTGGGTTCATCACCTGCAAGTGTTCCAGAATCACATGGTGCTTGCAGTTAACATGACAGTCACAAGTATGAAAGGCTCATCCTGAGATGGCAAAAGAAAACTGAAAGAAAAGGTAGGGACCCCTACACAAAAGCCTGGAGTTTAGGTTTTAGTTTTTCAGTCCTGACTCTTATGCAAGATGTGACCAAGGATAGGAATCAGGTGGAGCCCTGTAGCTATCCTGGCTATCTCGGCAACACTATGTAAGGTAAAAGTTTCTCTGCATTTTGAAAAGAATACAACGAAGGCTTTCTGATATCTAATTCTGCATCCCTGCATAAGTGGGGTGAGCTCATCTGTACTTGAAATCTATATATAGTAGACAAAATTAGATTTTACTTTTGGGGTTTTTGTTTCTTTATTCTGTTAGTGACAAGTCTTTTGTTTGTTTAATATTTTTTGTTTATTTTTAAATCCTGTCCTGGAATTTGCTATGTAGCCCAGGTTGACCTTGAACTCACAGAGATCCTCCTGCCTCTGCTTCTCCAGCGCTGGGACTAAAGGTGTGTGCTGTTATGCTCAGTGGTTTGCACTCTTTTATGGAAGAATAGTGACTTAAGACACAGCAGAAGCCAGCTCTGTAACCAGTTGTAAAGAGCCATTCAGCAGAATTCAGCAGGAACGCTGAAGGCAGGAACCAGGTCATCAGGCCAGAAACTTGCTACAGATGACATTTTAGTCCCAGGAGGAAAGAACACTAATGGGAGGATTGGCACACAAATTCTGCAGAGACTGACCTGACCATTAGCCATGAAAACACAATGTTTCTAAGAGCTACTTAGAGCAGGCTGGGGGCAGCAGCACCCTGAGCTGTTTGGTCAGGAAGCTGTGGGCAGGGTGCACAGCTGACCACTGAGAACATCCAGGTACAATTTCATGTGGTTCATTCCAGTTATGTTTCTTCCAAAGAAATTGTAATCACTATCTCTGATCCCACTTTAGTCGGAGGAAGCATTTCTATTTAATGCACTTTTGCTTGCCTGAACCTTTTTAGGATAAGCATTAGGGGGAGACCCTTCCTAAACAAAGAGCAATGACACACTGGGAGGGTGGTGGTGGCCTGAACTGACACTCACTGACAGTTCACCAGTGACGGTGAGGAGCTGAGAGTCCTGTTGTTCTTGAGACCTGATGCCCTTTATGCTGCTGTCACAGAATGCACCTTCCTTTCCTCTCAAGACAGGGTGTCCCTGTGGTGTCCAGATTAGCCTTGAACTCCTGGACTTCAGCGCTCTCCCTGCTTCCATTTCCTGAGTACCTAGGACCAAGATCAGCAGCACTGTACCTGGCTGTCAGTTTGCTTTACTTTCCTACCTTGTGGATGTCCCTCTTTAATTTTGCAGGTATGGCGAAGGCTAGTGGAGATTGACTTCCCAGAGAAGTATGGCTGGAAGGTGTCCCTACTGGCAGACATGGAAGGGAGGCTCAAGCAGGTACCTGAGGTCGGGGCACTCTTCCTGGGAAGGAAGGACTGTAGAGGAGGCCAGCCACCTAATGTACATGACAGGTGTGAGTGGTGCACTTGAGTGTCAAGGCTGATGGTGGTGAGGCAGGGGGTCAGCTATTACTTTAGATGTGTGTTTCTGATTGGCCACTGTCTTTTGACCTCAGAAGAATGTCAAAGTTTTTGAGGGATGCCCTTAGAAGACTAGGGACAGGGTTTTGTCATAATGGGGAGCCTAGTGCTATACAGGGAAGTCCTCTTGCAGACACTACACCGGACAGTTAATAGAAACAGCAACAATGGAGGGACACACACACACACATGCACACACACACCTGTTCTTCAGTGTGAATGTAGGCTCTGACATGGAAAGTCAGTTTTTATATGTCATGTATGTTTTATCCAAAGGTTAGGAAAATGGCTTATATTCCAAAATTTACCTGTTTTTACAAGCTCCAGTGCTGGAAGGTTCTTTTTGCACAGAGTGGGACAAAGGGCTCTTCAAGTTTTGTGGTTTTGAGATGGTTTCATTCTATTCCAGGCTGGCTTCAAGCTCCCAGCAATTCTTCCTGCTGTGGCCTCTCAAGAGCTGGGACCACAGGCACAAGCCTTGCTACAGACACTTTTTTCTTTTTGTTCCTTGGATAGCTTGTGAACACACTTAGTGTGTGTGCACACAGAGGCACTGAGGACGCTGGGTGTTCCTGGGGTGTGGTAGTGGGGTCCCCACAGTCCTCACTCCTCCCTCTTTGTCTGCAGGAACCTCCCCGTTTGCAGATCTCCTTCTTCTGCAGCAGTCATGATGGTGGACTCCGTGACAGTGTGGCGAGGAGCTTTGAGAAGTGCGTCATCGAGGCTGTCAGCTCTGCCTGCCAGGTCACTAGCCTTTCCAGCATGGGTTCACAGGGTTTCTGATATGAGCTGCTAAAGCCTGTTTGTTCTTAGACCCTACAGCGTTGGCTCACCCTCCTTTGTGCCCAGAGCCAAACCTATGCTGAGATCCAGTATTCTCATCCAACTGCTTGAGAAATAGCATGATTTCCTGTTTTCTGGGCTGTTAGGTGTCACTCAAAACCACAGCTGCTAGGCCAGGCATGGTGGCAAGTGCCTTTCATCATAGTATTTGGGAGAAAGAAGCAGGTGGGTCCCTGAGATCAAGTCCAGCCTTGTCTATGTAGCCAGGGTCAGGCTAGTCAGGGCTCCAAGGTGAGACTTTGAATCTCAAAACAACAACGACCACAAAGCTTCGCAGCTGCTTGCACAGACCTTGCTCCAGCATCTCCCTGGCTGAGCATCAGTTACACCCCTGTGAGCCTCGCTGCTAGGTTGCATTACGTTCTGTTAATTCTTCTGCAAGTGACAGAGAGAGAGACAAGGGCCATGTTTGTGAGCAGCACGCTCACCGCACTGCCCTGTCACTTCTGTAGTTTTAGCTCTACTGAGGCCCTTCATCATCTACTTGAATTCTGTCCAGGGTCAGGGTATGAGGTAAAGGGCCAGTTAGTGTGGAGATCTAGCTTCCCAGAATCATTTGTCAGAGAGATTGTGCTATGCCAACTGACTGGCCCGAGCACCTTGTCAAAACTCTGCACGCTGGCCATGTGTGAGAAGAGAGCTCCAAGAAATGTTATGCTTTCTACTTAACAATTGTGTGTGCCTCTGTGTGTGTGTTTGTATGTGTGTGTTTGTACACATGTGCACATGCGCACACATGCCAGCCATGGCACACATACATGGAGGTCAGAAGATATCTTTTGGTGGCTAGTTCTCTTCTACCCCAATGTCCGACCCAAGGTATGTTGTTAGGTTTGATGGCAGGCACTTTCACCCACTAAGCCGTCTCTCTGGCCTGCACTTTCTTCTTTCTCTTCTGTATTGTGTGTGTGAGTAGTGCTGAGCATTGAACTGGGGCTTTACACATAGTAGAGAAGCATTTAGTACACATAGTAGGGAAGCATTTAGTACACATAGTAGGGAAGCATTTAGTACACATTGGAGGGAATCATTTAGCCATTGTTTTATACCCCAGTGAACAGTTTTCCTTTTGAGGCTCTTTCTACTCAAATCTACTTTTGGTGAAAGCCAGGTAGCTTCCACCAGACTGCGCACTTTCACTGTCAGGAAGGACTTCCTATGTGTATTCACCACCACAAATGAAAATCCACCACAGACCCTGAACTGGAAAGGCTTTCTGTCCTCAGAACTAGGAAGACAGCTGGCTTTATATCCCCTTCTGTAACTAGCCCATCACCTGTAGTCAGTACTCCAAGGATAACTTATAATTATTTTTAAGATAAGGTCTCAGGTAGACTGGGCTCGGCAGTGCATTTTCTGTATAGCCTTGGCTGGCCTACAACTGCACTTCCCAAATGCTAGTATTACTGGTGTGTACCACTGTAGCAACCTGTTCTGGTCAGTCAGCAGGGTCTCCAGCACAGGAGTGAGGATGCATGCTTCCTATTCCCGCTGTGTCTTTCACTGTATCCCGCTTACTGGAGCTCCAATGTTCAGGCGCCACTTTGTAGCCGCCAGAGCTGCCTCACGTTCTGGGGACCACTTTGTAACAGCCTGTTCTGCTGCTCCTGTCCGCGGGTCAGGGCCTAGCAAGAGAGAGAGTGGGGGCGGAGACTCGAAGAATGGAGACAAGACAGAGAGTCTGATCAAGTCTCTCCAAGTCTCTTTTATTGGAAGGAAATCCTGGGTATTTATACCCTTTACCACATGCCTCGTGGACAAGCACAGCTGAAGGCACTACGTCATGTGCCTTGCAGTATGGATGTCACATGTGCCTAGCTAGCAGTGAGGAGACCACGTGTGCCTTGCAGCTGGCGGCACTAAACAGCCAAACAAGATATGTTAGAAAAACAAGATGTTTATCAGAGTGTGCTCAGTTGTTGCGGGCTGTTGAAAACAAGTCTCTTGTCAGGGTATATGGCTCGAGATGGCTGTAAAGATGATAGCCGCTTTTGGCTAGGAGTCGGCTCCCAACATACCACCATACCCAGTTTTCATGTTTTTCTTATTTCAAAAACAAACTAATAAGATATTACTACGTATTCTTTTTGACTCATTTTTTTAATAGTCTCAGACCAGTGTCCTTGAGGGCATCTCCTGTCAAGATTTGCGGAAATTTGGTACCCTCTTGTCTGCTGTGATAACTAAGTCATGGCCTGTGCACAACGGGGAGGCCGTGTTTGATGTGGATGAGATCTTCAAATATCTGCTCAAGTGTCCAGATGTGAGGCATCTCTTCAAACTGTGTGGTATGTTCTGATGTCTGTGGGGAACTTGTCGAGGGTGGTGTCCTCCTGACCTTGACATTCAGCTGCCATGTGCTGATAAGGAAGGGTGTAGGGACCTGGACAGGCATGGGCATCAGGAAGAATGGAGGGGCCTGGACAGGCATGGACATCCTTCCAAAGGAAGAGGACTAAAGGCACGATTCACTGAGTCCTGCTGCACACCAGCCGCCATGCTGACACACTGTCCTATATGGCCTCCCCGACAGTCCTTCTTTGGGCCTCAGTTTCCAGATGAAGGGATATGAAGTACAGAGTACAGACGGCCGACTGCTCTGCACACTGAGCTGCAGTTAAGCTGGGGAATGGTTAAGTAACTCCTGTAGTAGCACGTGGAGCCCCACACCTACATAAGAGGCTGGCCATGGCACTCATGCACCTACAGTAGCCCCAGTGCTATAAGGAAGGAGGCAGAGGCTCCCTGAGACTTGCCAGCCATGGGTCAAGCTTCAGGTTCACTGCAGACTCTGGTGGCTATTTATGGACTGCCTATGCATGCATGCACATTTAACACATGCACATCCACACACATGTACACAGTAAACAAACCCAGGTGGCCTTCAGAACACTGACTTCGAGAGCGGTGCTGAATCACCAACAGAACAGGAAGTCCCTCCTGATCCTCCCAGGATACACAGATTCCAAGTGTTATTTATGCCTTCCCCTGAAGTCTCTTTGTGCGTCTTGTGTGGGCTGCTCTGTTTAGATCTTGTAGCAGTAATGTGCTGGGTTTGGTACTAAAAGCCCAGGTCAGGTTATAGTTCTCAATTTTGTCAGATCTTGGACAGCTCAAACAGAGCCCCTCATGGCTTGTGAGGTGTGAGGTAAAATGATGACTGCTGAGGGGGGTGCTGCAGTCACCTGCAGCCCCAGACAAACTGGATCCACCTGAAAGGGGGGCTGGAAATGAAAAAGGACAGAGAGATGAGAGATGCATGAAGCCAAGACAAAGTTTTCTGATCAAGGCTCAAAGTTTAATATTCAGCACTTGTATCTATAGGGAAAGCCCACTCGAACCCATCCTTTGTTTCAGCTACAAAGCAGGCTCATTGGGCAGTCTCTTCTTCTAAGTTCGTGTTGGAAGTTGCAAGTGTAAACAAAGCAGATGATCTTACCTAGGTGTTAAGGTCCTGTGTGACAGACAAGGTCTGTTCAGACTGTGCACAGCTTGGGGGGGGGGGGCCAGGGTGCCATGTTATGCATTTGCTGTTAGCTTGAGAGTATCACGTGTGTGCTTTCAATTAATAGGTTTTCTAGAAAAAAAAATCATCAGAAAACTTAGTTCCCACATAGCTTCCCCAGCACCCATGTGCTGCTGTTCACATCTGGAATGTATGGTGTGTCTTTTGAGCTGGGCACACTTTTGTCAAGTTCATAGGGTACTCTGGGCTTTAACAGGTACATGATAGCATGTTTGGTGCATTGCAGTGTCACATACAATAAACTCATTGTTCCAAGGATCTGTGACCTTCCTCTCTATTCTCTCTCCTGTAGTCTGTTTTGTAGAAGATCCCACATTTGGAACCATATGACATGTGTGGACTTAGACTCTGTTCATAAATAGCACTCTGCATTTGAAGCTCCTCCCTGTCTCCTTGTTGCTTGACAGCTGAGTTCTGTTTTTGTCATGGCACTGCTGCAGTTCCTTGATCTGTCTGTCCATCTGCTGAAGAGCATCTCAGTTGTTTCATGGTTTTTTGTTTTCTTTTTCTGAGGCTGACTCTCACTATGTAGCCTTGGCTAGTCTTTGGAGACCTGGCTGGTTTCAAACTTACAGAGATCTGCTTGCCTATATTTCCAGAGTTCTGGGATTCAAGGTGTGTGCCACCATGCCCAGTTGTTTCATGGATTTAAACTGAGAATAAGGCTCTTTGGTTTTTGATGACACAGATAAACAAGGTCTTATTTATTTATTTATTCATTTTTAATTATTAATTCATTTATTTGAGATAGGGTTTTTCTATGTAACAGCTCTGGTATCCTGGAACATTCTTTGTACAACAGGCTGGCCTTGAAATTCCCAAGATCCGCCCGCCTCTGCCTCCCGAGTGCTGAGATTAAAGGTGTTTGTCAGCACACACAACGCAGCATGACCTTTTACTTCAAATCTAATCATAGCAGGAGAAAAATTTTCTAGGAGTTAAAAGTAGATGTATTTAAAAGCTTGTCATCTAACTGGACTGTAAGTCTCACGGTGATGGGGAGCGTGGTGGCCAGGATGTGCAGAACCAGTAGCTCTGCACCTACCAAGTGTTGTCACACTGGGAACTGCCTGAGCACTGCTGTAGCAGGAGTAACAACCATCAGAGATCCACGTTGGGAACTGATGGGTCAGGAGACCCAGGCTCTGATCTGTGTGCTCTCCCTCTGATCAGGAACCAATGAGCACATCATAGACAACATCACGGAGGAAGGCAGGCAGCTGATGGCCACTGCTGAGTCTGTGTTCCAGAAGGTTGCAGGGGAACTTGAAAATGGCACCATTCTGGTTGGACAGCTGGAGTTGATCCTTGAGTACAAGGGTCAGTTTCTTGACATCTGGAACTTAAGTAAGTATCAAATTGAGACAGCACCTTCAGGCTGCTGAGCAACTCAGAGGGTGAGAGCTTGGGTATGTCATCTTGTGGGCAAGGTCTGGCCGCCTGCAGCCACGAGTCGAATGGGTTCACCTGAAAAGAGGGCTGAGAACGAAAAGGGGATGGAGAGTGAGAAAAGATGAAGCCAAGACAAAGTTCTCTGATCAAGGCTCGATGGATTAATGTTCAGCTTTCAATTTAAAGGGAAAGACCCCGCCGGAACCCTTCTTAGTTTCAGCCAGGAGAGATGGGTGGGATAATCCGTTCTTGGTCACGGGTCATGGCCGGAGATGTCTCAAAGCCAGCCCAGGGGCAGTTCTTCTTTCAAGTTCCTGTAGCAGGATCTACCTGCAGCCAAGGTGGGTGACTCCACCTAGGTGTCTATTGATATGTAGCCAAGGTGGCTAGTTCCACCTAGGTCCTATTATTTGGTCTATTGTGGTAAACAAGGTCTCTCGGGCCTGCTCAAGGCTGGGGGAAGGACACAGCAAGGTATGTTTCTGGGCTCTGTGACTGCCAGCAGTTCTTGCCAGAGAGCAGAGGAGCTTTGTTATTCTGAGGAGTATCATGAGAGAGCAGTAGGATGAAGGCAGTAAGAGCCTCCTCTGCCAGCGTCTTCACAGACTGGCTGAGCAGAAGTCTTCCTGGTCCCTCTGAAGACCTCCGCAGAGGGCAGAGCCTCACTCAAGTCTCAGAAAGTCGCAGCCACCCAGTAATCTGCTCGAGAGACCAGAGTGTACCAGAGCAATTGCGAGGTTTATTAGGGCGTGACAACTAGCTGCCGGTCAATTCGTATGCCCACGCAGGAGCTGAATTGACCCTGACAGCCAGTTTGAGAGGGATTTTTAAGGGGAAAAACCACAAACCAAGGAATGGGGAGGGGAATGAGGGGTTGTTGAGGTGGCATAACATAAAAATAGTGGAACATTCCAAAGGAACCCAACCTACATGAGTCAGGATCAGGTGAAAACTCTCTGTACGCTTATCTTTCTCAAGAATGTGGTCCTGCCTTGTCACTGTGGCCTTGCCCTGTCACTGCGGTTCTCAGCTTGGTTTCCAGCTTGGTTCCACCTAGTTCACTTGCATTCTTTCCTTTCTCTTTGCAGATAGGCCAGTTCCAGTAATGGTGACTGGTCTTTTCACATTCCTAACTTGATTCATGGCTCAGTTTCTCCATGTCTTTATAAAGAAGGCGTAAAGAATATTTTATATGTCTAAAAAGAACTCTATATACCCAGTATCTATAATTTTTCACTCTACACCTCCTCACTGCCCTGACACGGAGCATGTTCAGAGAGAGGCAGTAAAATGTGATTACATGGAAGGCTTACAGGATTGTGTGAGCTGCCAATTTACTTTTCAGATAGAAAGAGGCTGCCATTCCAAGAGAAGGCCTGTGACATGAAGGACTTGCTGGAAAGGAGAAAGGATGACCTGCGGTTCCTCAAGCGAGAGAAGAGATACGTGGAGAGCCTCCTGATGCAGCTTGGAAGAGTGAAACACCTCGTGCAAGGTGGGCCCCAGCAGTGGCACTGAAGACTGAGGGGCCTCCGGGTGAAGGGCAGAGGAAGGTGCAGTGAGGATGGAGTAGAGGCAAAGCTGGGGCGGGATCTTTAAAATAATATTTTTAATTTCCATGGGGGAGGGGACACAGGCATATGCCTGTGTGTGTGCGCCTGCGTGTGGAGGCCCAGGGTAGATACTGGGAGTCTTTCTTGAGCCCTCTTTCACCATATTCAATGAATTGTTCTCATCTGAGTTCACTTGAATTTGCCAGAGGGAATCAGCTGACTTCTGTATTCACTCGCATGCCTGCAAGCATCCCTCCAACTTTTCCGTGCTAGAACTATCTGCCAAGTTCCCACCATAGGAAGTGATTCTCCCAGGATGGGGCACCTCATCATCGCTAGGCTTTCTTTTATCCTGCAGGTGCCCTCTGTGCCTCTTCCCTCTATGCCTCTTCCCTCTGTGCCTCTTCCCTCTGTGCCTCTCCCCTCTGCGCCTCTTCCCTCTGTGCCTCTTCCCTGGTACATCCCTGGCCTCTTCCCTCACGCTGGCAGACACAGCTTATCTACCTTGCTGAGGAAGACACTGAATCTCTACAAGTCTGGGAATGTCTGCTCTAGTTCTAGGTGCTTGGCAAGGAGGAGAGGGCACCTGGTAGGTCACTGCTCTAGGAACCGTATGTTGTTCCTGCTTGTCTCTGGCACTGCTCTGGGGCAGTCCTGGTGACTCAGCTTTTGTGTATGACACATATACATATTTGCCCTTACTGGATGCAATGTATATCAGGTTTTCCTCAAATTCACAGAGATCCACCTGTCGCTGCCTCCTGGGTACTAGGATTAAAGGCATGTGCTACCATGACCAGCCAGTTTCTGACTTTTAAGATATAATTTCTATTTTATAATTAGTGCTGTCTTTAGAAGGGAGTGAGAAAATGTGCATATTTTCCAACTGACCTTTTACCAGTTGTGTACCCAGTTTCCTTGTTGTGAAGACTGACAAAGCCAAAGTAGAGGAAAGATGTCCGTGTTCTGCAGAGAAATGACCCTAGTGGTTGTATTTGTTTTCTTAGAAGCATCTAGAAAAAGAACTAGGACTGGACTGCATGTCCTTAGCAGAGGGTTTAATCTAGTGTTGCAGGGCAGCAGGAGCTGTCCCCAGTGCTGAAAAGCAAACTCTAGTTCTGTCCACCCTGGTGCATGGCTACAATCCTGGCAATTAGGTGGGTAATTAGTTGAAAGCCAGCCTGTCTACATATTCAGACTTTGTCCTTTCCCTCACTAAGAAAGAGAAGTGAAACCAGCTGGTGGTGGCACAAGTCTTTCATCCCAGCACCAGGAGACGGAGACAGCCAGTGGTACACAGAGAAACCCTGTTTCAAAAGTGTGCGTGTGCGTGTGCATGGGTTTGAGAGAGAGAGAATGGGGATAAATTATAAGAAGAGTGAAAGAAAATGCTCCTATGATCAGAGGTTTAACCTCCACCCTTTAATTCTGGTTTCTGTAGTTGATTTTGGAAACATTGAAACAATCCACTCTCAAGACCTCAGCAATAAGAAACTAAATGAAGCCCTGATTAAGCTTCCCAATTCCTCATCCTCCAAAAGGAAGACACATTACTGCCTGAACTCTGATATCCGAAAAATGGCAAGGAAGCTAGACTCCCTGAAAGACAGCCATATCTTCCAGAACTTCTGGCATGAGACAGCGGAGTTGTTGAATACTCTGGATAAAGACCCCAGAGAGTTGAAGTTTTTGCTTCCAGAAGTCTTGGAAAACCTGTACAAACCTTGTTATGACAAATTCTACAAGCTCTATGAGAATCTGAAGTCAGGAAAGATCACCTTTGCTGAAGTTGATGTCATCTTCAGAGACTTTAAAGATAAATATGATGAACTTGATGTCGATCTTAAATTCATGTGCACTATGAACCCTCAGGACAAAAAAGGTTGGATTCCCGAGCGTGTTGGGCAGATCAAAGAATATCACACCCTGCACCAAGCTGTCAGCTCTGCCAAGGTCATCTGGCAGGTCCGAAGAGCTCTGGGTGTGACCGGTGACTTCAGTGTTCTTAACCCATTGTTAAACTTTGTAAGTTGTTTGCTGGCTCTCCTGAGGGGTGAGGGTCTCCCAAAGAGATGGAGGTGGGGGTCTGGGGCTTCTGGCTTGGCAGTGTGTTTGGGATGGTGTTTAAGCAGCTGGGGACAGCAAAGCTCTCAGTGTTTTGCTCACTTGTATGGCGGCTTTGTCCCGTCTCTCTTTGCTCCTGGGCCAGTGGGTTTCAGGCCATCCATCAGGGATCAGCAATCCAAGAAGAGACCATGCTCTTCTGCTTTACTATTTTTGAGATTATACTTACTCATTTCTCGCCCTTGCAAACTCTCCTTTGTATATCTCTCTCCTTGTTCTCTTTCAAATTCATGGCCTCTTTTGCCATGTTCTTTAATAAGGTCATAAAAACACAGAAGGAGGGAAGGTCATCTGTCCCAGATGCAATTGCATCAGCTCTAGACAGCAGCAGCAAGCAACACACCACCTGGCAGAGCTGAGATGAGAGGTGTTTTGTCTCTATTTTGAGACAGGGTCTCACTGTGTATCTAGTCTGGCTATCCTGGCTGTTGATATGTAGACCTGGGTGGCGGCTGGCCTTGAACTCACAGAGATCCACTTACCTCTGCCTTCAGATTAATGCTGAATTAAGAGGTACATCACCATGGCCACCTTTGGGGCTGTTCCTTGGCCAGTAAAATAGGGGGGAAAAGGTGTGTGTGTAGCTATAGAGACAGAGAGGAGACAGAGAGAGACAGAGATAAAGACAGAGATCTGGTGGTGCTACAGTGAAAAACAGATTTCAGAGACCATGTAAGCTCTAGTGTGGAGTGGGAGGTGTATGCGTAGGGGAGCAAGAAGTGGAAGGAACAAGGGTACTGTTGGCCAGGGAGGAAGAAGTCCTGTGGTCCTTGATCTAAGTGCCGGGCTTTTGCTATGGGTTGGCTGTTCCTGCCTGAAGACTAGGGGCTAACCAGGGCCAGTACAAGCTAGACTTCACCTTCCAGGCGGATTCCTTTGAGGACTTTCGTAATGGGAAACTGGACCAGATCAGCCCACAGTTCATCAAGGCCAAAAGGCTGCTTGAAGACATCAGTGAGGCTCGCCACCACTGCTTGAAGGAACTCACCCTGCACATGGAGCTTGTCACCTGGCTGCATGAGGCCATGGAAGGTATTGTCAAACCCTTGGGCTTGCCCAGGTCCTGCCAGTGGCACCAGCAGGACATTTGTTCCTTGCCTTCTTTAGGCAGAGAAGCAGTGTCTGTCTCATTGACCCAGCGCATATTTTACTGAGATGGTGTCTCAGGGCTCCTTTCTCACTCCCTGCTTGCTGTGAATAGCTGAAGGTCTTTTTTTTTCAACACCTCCTTTACCTTTTAGTTTTTAATTTTATTATTTTGTGTGTAACAGTGTTTTCATGTGTGTATGTATGTATATGTGCCACATATGTGTCTGGTACTTGTGGAGGTGAAGAGGGTGCCAGATTCTGTGGAACTGAGGTTACATTTGGTTAAAAGCCACTATGTGGGTGCTGGGAACTTAATTTGTATCCCCTCCAAGACCAACATGTACTCTTAACCATTGGGCTATCTCTTCAGCCTTGTTGTTGTTGTTATTTTGAGAAAGGGTCTCTCTGTGTAGCCCTGGTTGTTCTGGCACTTGCTCTATGACCAGGCTTGCCTCAAAATTACAGAGATCCGCCTGCCTCTGCCTCCCGAGTGCTGGGATTAAAGGCGTGCACCACCATGGCCTGGCATCCAGCCTTTCATTTTTCAATGAAATAATTTTTTTGTGTATGGGTATTTTTCTTACACGTGTGTCTATGCACCCTCACATGCCTGGTACTCAGGAAGGTGAGAAGAAGGTGTCAGATCGCTTGCAGCTGGAGTTATAGATAGCTGTAAGTTGCCATGTGGGTGCTGGGCACTGAACCTGGGTCCTGGAAGGGCAGCAGGTGATTTAACCATTCAGCCATCTTTCCAGCTGTCCTCCCCACTTAGCCTTCTCCTCCAGAAGACAGGGCAAGATGGCTCTTGTCTAGACAGGGTGTTTTTTGTAACACTCTCATGAAGATTTTATCCAGCAGACAGCTTGCTAGCTTGTTTTGTTATCTAGATTAGAAAGAGCAGAGGCAGGGGTGGGGAACTGAAAGGTGGAGAGGAGGTAGAAAGAGAGCAGGCAGCAGACTGTTAAACCCTGGGACCTGCAGGAGGAAGGCATGCCTCCTGCTGCTACAGAGGCTGCACTGGCTCCAACTCTCACTGTGTGGCTTCCTTCTGTGGGCTTTGGTTCCACCTTGATCTGTTGAGTGGATCAGAGAGCTGTACAGTGTCATCTCAGTTTTTCTCATTGTCAGCATATTCTCTACCAGCTGAGCCTTGGTCTCTATGGTTAAGTGATGTTATGTAGAGTGAAGGCTATACTGTGCGCAACAAGCCTAGTGTAATGCCTAAGATGTGTTGCCTGATAAACATTAGAAGGCAGTCAATAGATCCAATATATGGTCAGTGTTCTTAGCAAAAACAGGAAGTGGGTCAAACCAAGACATTAGCTTGGCGTCCGGTTATAGCTTCACTTAGAGTTACTGCCCAAAACTCAGCATGGTCCTGTGCTGATCTCTTCTCTCCTCCTCTCAAGACCTCAGTGAACTCAAGGTGTTCGTGGACCTGGCCTCCATCTCAGCGGGAGAGAATGACATTGATGTGGACCGGGTAGCCTGTTTCCACGATGCCGTGCAGGGCTATGCTTCTCTGCTGTACAAGATGGATGCAAACACAGACTTCAACGAGTTCATGAATCGTCTGCAGGAACTCTGGAGGGCCCTGGACAATGACCAGCACCTGCCTGATAAACTGGTAAGTCTACTCAGGACCCAAGCCAGAGTAAGTGTAATAGCTGACTGCTATTACAGACCCAAGGGCTTTGGCAAGGCTGCCACTGATATACCTGCTTCATGACAGATCCCTGTTGTGCATGGAATGTATGCTCTCTCTTGAGTCAGGAAGTCATATACAAAATGGCATGTTGGGTCTCTGCCTTGTGACACAGGGAAGGATGCCTGGAGCAACCATGGTGAAGCCTTGCCTATGAGAGAGAAGATTGCAAACTTTCTGCTAAAAGCTCACATGCAAACGGCAGCCCTTAATGCAAGCTTTCCTTTCTCCATGGGTCATTCTCAGAATACATAAACGGGCATTAAGAAAATACACTAAGGGATAGACTACAAAGGCTTAAGAATGTGACAGTCCCTGTGGCTTTTGCAGAGGACCCAGGTTTGGTTCCCAGCATCCACATGGTGGCTCACAACCTTGCAATACTGCAGTTTCAAGGGATACAGCACCCTCTTCTAGTCTCTCATGGCACCAGGCACACACATGATGCACATGCATATATAAGGCCTGTGCACACAAAATGAAATAAATTTTTAAGAATGAAAGAAGTCAGGTACGGTGGCACACACTTTTAAATCCCAGAGCTCAGGTGGCAGAGGGAGGAAGATCTGTTTGACACCAGGCTGGCTTTTAACTCACAAAGACTGTCCTGCCTCTGTTTCCCAAGTGCTGGGATTCAAATTGTATATCTTGCTCAAAGTAAGAAAATTTCAAAAGAAGAAGAAACAAAAAGCTTGAGGCTTCTTAATGCTTGCCCTGTTATCTTGCTTTGTGTGGTGAGCTGTGCAGTGAGTGTGTGGTTGTTTTTCACTTGTCTATAAATAAACCCAGATGCCTAATGCCCTACACCTGCCTGCTAGGGCTTCTGAAGCAGAGGAAGCCTGACTGATGAACATGCTGCATGACAGAGCCCCAAGGGTCACTCACTCCAGCTTCTATTCTCTGCTTCTGTCCCTATAGAAAGATTCTGCCAGAAATTTGGAGTGGCTGAAGACAGTGAAGGAAAGCCATGGATCTGTGGAGCTCTCTTCTCTGTCCCTGGCCACAGCAATCAACAACAGGGGCATCTACGTTATTGAGGCACCCACAGATGGCCAGAAGGTGAGCCTCCCAAAGTCCTTCCTGGTACAGTTTTGTATGGCCCTGTGGTCTTGCTATAAAGTCCTGGGACTTTATGGCAGGAGCTAACTTAAGAATGTGTGCTGCCTCCCAGATCTCCCCAGACACTGTTCTCCACCTCCTCCTCCCTGATCACCACGGTTACCAGGAGGCATTGCGCAAGTACTCCACAGAGGAGCTGAAGGAGCTTTTAAACAAGCTGATGCTGATGTCTGGAAAGAAAGAGCACAGCAGCAATGCAGAAGTGGAGAAGTTTGCAGAGGTGAGCGTATGGGTTTGGCTGCTGCCCACAGGGGCCACTCTGGCTTCTCGCTAGGCCAGTCACCTTTGTTACTGAGGATGGAAAGGGTCTGAGTAGGGTTTTGATCAGCACAGCTTTGCTATGGGTCTGCAGGATGCATGTTACCCTGAATCACAACCCCAGAGAAGTATCTGAAGTGAGGTAAACCCTGTGAGCAGCAGGTCCTCCTCAGGAGCCTCAGGAGGAACTGTGACTAGCTGTGGAGAAGAGATGACAAACAGATACTCTTAGAAAGAAACAATCAACTTCACTGCCACTATACTCCTGTTGAGGTAGGAGGATGGTGAATTTGAGGCCAGCCTGGAAACATGAGACAGGACTTCTTCACACACGCACACACACACACACACACACACACACACGTGCCCCCACATAGTCTTTACATTGACATTCTTTGTCTTTCCCTGGACATGGTGGCACATGCCTTTAGTCTCAGCATCCAGGAGGCAGAGGCAGGGGGATCTTTGTCAGTTCAAGGCCAGTCTGGTTCCATAGTGATTTCCAGGATAGACAGGGATCCATACTGAGACCCTGTCTCAGAAAACCAAAAAGAGAAAAAGAAAAAGAAGAGGACAGGTGCTCCTTATGAAGCCAACCGTGTAATATGGAAGGAAAAGCTGTGGTGTGATGAATAGTGGGCAGATTTTTGGGAAAAGCGAGCTAGCCTAAGACCTTGGAGTTGTACATGGGCAGGTGTGTGTTTTCCCTGAAGGCTTGTGCTATGCTTTGGCCTCATGGTTCCCTTTCCCCCAGGTCTTCAGCAACATGCAGAGGCTTGTACATGTCTTCATAAACCTGCACTGTGCGGGCAACATGCTGTTCCGAACTTGGACTGCTAAGGTCTACTGTTGCCCCGGTCGGGGCATCTCCATGGACTTTGGCTTGGAGCTGCTGAGCCAGCTGACAGAGAGTGGAGATGTCATTCAGCTCCTGGGAGCCCTCTGCAGGCAGATGGAGAATTTCCTAGATGACTGGAAAACAGTGGTCAGCCAGAAGAGAGCTAAACACTTTTACCTCAACTTCTACACAGCTGAGCAGCTGGTCTACCTAAGCAGCGAGCTCAGGAAACCCAGACCTAGTGAAGCTGCCCTCATGATGCTGTCCTTCATTAAAGATAAATGCACTGTCCAGGACCTCACACAAGCTACCAGCGCCCGTGAAAGCAAGGCTGCCAGACACGGCCTGCGGGAGGCTATGAAAAGGCTGCCTCAGCAGCTGCTTTCGGAGTCCAGCCTGATGGGGAAGCTTCAGGTCATCATGGCGCAGTCCCTAGAGTGCATGAGTGCCTTCCTGCCAAGCTGTCTGGACCTGGATGCCCTGGGTAGATGCCTGGCTCATCTGGCCACGCTGGGTGGCTCTCCTGTGGAGCGGCTCCTCCCCAAAGGCCTGCAGGTTGGCCAGCCTAACCTCATCTTGTGTGGCCACTCTGAGGTGTTGCCGGCTGCACTGGCCATCTACATGCAGGCCCCTAGGGAGCCCCTGCCCACCTTTGATGAGGTGTTGCTCTGCACCCCAGGGACCACGATCGAGGAGGTGGAACTACTCCTGCGACGTTGCCTTACTTTGGGCTCCCAGGGGCATAAAGTCTATAGTCTGCTGTTCGCAGACCAGCTGAGCTATGAAGTGGGGTGCCAGGCAGAGGAGATCTTCCAGAGTCTGTGCGCACAGTCGCACCGTGAAGACTACCAGTTGGTGATTCTCTGTGATGCTGCCCGGGAGCACTGCTACATCCCCTCCACCTTCAGCCAGCACAAAGTCCCCCTGGTGCCCCAGGCCCCACTGCCGCACATCCAAGCCTACCTGGAGAACCATTATCAGGTCCCCAAGCAGATCCTGTCAGCAGCAAATGTATTCAGAGATGGGCTGTGTGTTGGAATCGTGACCTCTGAAAGAGCTGGTGTTGGTAATGAACGAAGTCCCCTCTCCCAGATATTGCCCAGTGACACTCCCTTCTCTAGCAAGGGTGACTCTGATGAACCCCGTCTTCAGGAGGTTGGCTCTTCCTTGTCCAGTAAGAACTCTGTCCTTTCCCACCTAATTTTGAAAGTTGGAGAATTCCTGAACACCACCTTCAGACTTTCTTGGCAGTTTCTTTCCTCTGTGAACTCTGCTGGCTTCTGGCATCAATGCTGGTTGTGGTTGAGAAGAAAGCCTGACCATGCTTTGACTACTGTTTGTTTCCTTCCATACTGTCCACTCTTCCCTGAACTGCTCTGGTCTGCTGGGAGAGAGTTTGTTTTCCCACACTCTAGCTTTTGCTGTCACTGACTTCAATGCACCATAAGTAACCAGGGAAGGGCAAGGCTAGTCAGTGGGTGGAGACAGGGAATCTGAAGGCTCATGGGAAATGAAGCTAGTGAGCAGTGATGGTCCACGGCATCTGGTTTGAACCAGACAGAGTCACTTCTAAGACATCTCTGGATTTTCTTCCTCTTGTAGATTTGGGGTCTAATTTTTGTATGATTACATTGTAGGAAAGTCTCTCTATGTGAGCACATTGCACAAAAACCTGAAAAGGAAGCTACATGATGACACGGTACCTTTAAAAATTATTCGGCTGACAGAGCCTCACATAGATGAGAACCGCGTCCTGAGCGCCCTCCTGCCATTCCTGGAGGAGAACTATCAGAAGATGCCGGTTATATTCCACATTGATGTGAGCACTTCAGTAAGTGTCCTGGCATCGCCACCCAACAACCATGAGGAAGGCACAGGTCCCTGATTCTGCCTGCCTTCTCCCTCCACATGCATCCTGTCAAGGGGCAAACGAGCTGCTCCATAGGCTGAGAGCAGTGGCTACCGTCCTACTGATAAGCCCACGTGTTTCCTTCTTTAGGTCCAGACTGGAATTCCCATCTTTCTTTTCAAACTCCTAATTCTGCAGTACCTAATGGATATCAATGGAAAAATGTGGCGCCGGAACCCGTGCCATTTATACCTTGTTGAAATCCCACAAGGGCTCTCAGTACAGCCAAAGAGGTCTTCTACACTGGTGTGTATCAAGAAAAACACAGAAAGGTTGGCTGGGGGTGGAGCACTCCTATCCTGCATTTATTTATTTATTTATTTATCTATGCCAACCTGATACAAGCTTGAGATATCTGAGAAGCGGGTTACCACAATCAAGGCAACTCCTCCATGAGATTGCCTGTAGGCAAGTTTGTAGGGTATTTTCTTGATTAATGATTGATGTAGTTGGGCCCAGTGCTCATCAGGGGACAGTGCCACTGGTAGGACTCTGGTTCTGGATGGTAGAAGAAAGCAGACTGAGCAAACCATGGTGAGCAGACCAGTAGGCGCTGTCCTTCCTGGCTCCTGCTTTAGTTCCTGCCTCCATCTTCCTGTCTTGAGTTCATGCCCTAACTTTCCTCAGAGTGTAACATGGGAGTTGTGAGGTGAACTAAACCCTTTCCTCCCCAAGTAGCTTTTGGTGATGGCGTCTTATCACAGCAGCTATCTCTAACTAAGGACAGAAGACGACAGACTGCAGGTTTGTGGGATACTGCTGGGACAGACCTGACCATGTGTTTGGGGGAGAATTATGGTGACTTTTGAGCCCTGAGCCACACTGAGTGCTCAGAGCTCAGTGCAATATTTTGCAATATTCTGAGAGCAACACAGACCAGAGAGGCCTGGCTTGTGAAGTTTAGAGGGAAGCAAAGACTCACATCAGGGCTATTTGAGTGATGTTTTGAATTAAGCAGCTGTGGTTCTGGCTAGCTGGGACTGAAACATTGACAAATTAACAAGAGACCGGAACCACTAAGGTGAAACCTTTGTTTGTCTTGGACCATTCATGCTGTTCAGCTGGGGCTAAGAAATAACCTCTGACTGAGAAGAGATCAGCGTCACTGAAGTGAAATCCTCTGGGAAGTGTTTCCTTGGGATCAGCACACAGATGCTGTGGTCCAGAGGGTGCTGAGTCTGTTTCTCAGGCTTGCAGCTGAGCTCTGGTAAGAGCTGCTGGTCTCATTGATTCAGGATAAACTTGAAATAAACTTGATGCTATAAAAGATTTCTTCATAAACTTTCTTAGGAAATATTAAGTTATACAAGTAAAATTTAGTTATAGGAGCCCTGCCTCCGATATGACTGGAAGGTTAGTGTACTGACCAGGCTTGTTAGAAATAGAAACTGTAGGGAAGAGAATTCTGTGCCTGCTTAAAATAAAGGGGTTACTGAGAGAGTTTATTCTCTGAGACTGACCTCTAGTTAGGCTCCAGTCTCATAACAAACGAAGACAACCTAGACTTACAACTGGCTCTTAGGTCAATCCCCTTACCCAAAACCATGAAGCTCATGGGGGTAGCACAGGGTCACAACCACCATTCAGTCCTGGTCTGCCATTAAGTCTCCTGTGCTCTTACTGTGAAAAGCACAAATCTGCCAGGTTGGCAAGATGACCATGGGTAACAACTATTCACAAAAAGCAACACTGGTGTGTACATAGAAATAATTCTGACAACAGCCCATCTGCACACCTGATCATCTCTGTTCAAATTGTTCAAAGTGCAACCTGGGGCTGGGATCTGAAAGACATTAAAGATGACAGCGTATGTGGAATGTGTAAGCCTAAGGTGCACAGAAGTTAGTTAAAGCAGAGCCAGGCACTCACCTATATTAAGGAGCCTTTTCCTGTCAGTGTCCAAGTGTGCGGGGTGATTTCTCACTGGGAAGGCATATTAGTTCTATAACCTCAGACACCAGAGACGATGAGTTCCTTCCTCTTGGACTTGAGTACTAGAAGAGGTTTGGAGCTCACATATACTCACAGGTGTATGTGCATAGCGAAGACACAGGTCCTCGATTGTGTTAAATGCACCCTTGTTAGGGTCTTCTAATTCAGTTCTCTAAACCATCAGCAGGCAGGCAAAAGTTGCCCGTCCGTGGAGACAAATTAAGTCCAGTATAGACTGTGTGGAGAGTTAAGACAGAAAGACAGCTGTCGGGGAATCCAGTGATAATCATCTTATCTGTGTCTCCTCTTTGCAGAACGGACGTGTACCCCTGTTCCAGTTTCTTGATATCTTCCCCAAAGTCACCTGCCGTCCTCCCAAGGAAGTGATAGACATGGAGCTGACTCCTGAGAGGAGCCACACAGAACCTGCAATGGACCCAATGGAGTTCTGCAGTGAAGCTTTCCAAAGACCTTACCAGTATTTAAAGCGTTTCCATCAAAAGCAAAACCTGGACATGTTTCAGTATGAAAAAGACTCTGTGGAAGGCTCTCCTGAGGAGTGCCTGCAGCACTTCCTGATTTACTGTGGCCTGATAAACCCTTCCTGGTCAGAGCTTCGGAACTTTGCTTGGTTTCTGAACTGTCAGCTCAAAGACTGTGAGGCGTCTGTCTTCTGCAATTCAGCTTTTACTGGAGACACACTTCGGGGCTTCAAGAACTTTGTGGTGACCTTCATGATCTTAATGGCTAGGGATTTTGCCACTCCGACTCTTCACACTTCAGACCAAAGCCCAGGTCAGCAGTCGGTCACCATTGACAAAGTTGCTGAAGAAGACCTAGCTCCCTTCTCTCTTCGAAAGAGGTGGGAGTCAGAGCCCCACCCATATGTCTTCTTCAATGGTGACCACATGACCATGACATTCATAGGTTTCCATTTGAACCCTAATAACAATGGCTATGTTGATGCAATCAACCCCTCAAGTGGGAAGGTCATCAAAAAGGATGTCATGTCCAAAGAGCTGTTTGAGGGGCTGAGGCATCAGAGAGTGCCCTTCAACATTGACTTTGATAACTTGCCCAGACATGAGAAGCTTGAAAGACTCTGCCTGGCACTAGGTATTGAGTGGCCTAGTGATCCCGATGAAGCATATGAACTTACCACAGACAATATGCTTAAGATCCTGGCCATTGAAATGCGGTTCCGGTGTGGGATCCCAGTTATCATCATGGGAGAGACAGGCTGTGGGAAGACCAGGCTCATCAAATTTCTTAGCGATCTCAGGCGTGGTAGTGTTGAGGCAGAAACTATGAAGTTGATGAAGGTCCATGGAGGGACAACACCATCTATGATCTACTCCAAGGTCAAGGATGCTGAGAGAGAAGCCTTCTTCAATAAGGCCCAACACAAGCTGGATACCATCTTGTTCTTTGATGAAGCCAACACAACAGAAGCTGTAAGCTGTATCAAAGAGGTCTTGTGTGATCGAACAGTGGATGGCGAGCACCTCAATGAGGACTCTGGCCTGCATATCATTGCTGCCTGCAACCCTTACCGGAAACACTCCCAGGAGATGATCCTCCGCCTGGAGTCAGCAGGTTTGGGATACAGAGTGAGTGCAGAGGAGACTGCAGACAGGCTGGGCTCCATCCCCCTGCGGCAGCTGGTATATCGTGTCCATGCTCTGCCTCCAAGCCTCATTCCTTTGGTATGGGACTTTGGACAGCTGAATGACTCTGCGGAAAAGCTCTACATCCAGCAGATCGTACAGAGACTGGTGGACTCCGTCACGGTGAATGAAAGTGAGACTTGCGTGATTGCAGATGTACTCTCCGCCTCTCAGAGGTTCATGAGGAAGAGGGAGAATGAATGTGGTTTCGTTAGCCTCCGGGATGTGGAACGCTGTGTGAAAGTGTTCCGGTGGTTTCATGACCACAGTGATATGCTCTTAGACAAGCTGGACGACTTTCTCCATAAATCCAGTGACAGCACACATACTTTCAAGAGAGACCCTGTTCTCTGGTCCCTTGTGATGGCCATTGGGGTATGCTACCATGCATCTTTAGAAGAGAAGGCATCCTACCGGACAGCCATTGCCAGGTGCTTTCCCAAACCATACAATGACAGCAAGGTCATCCTTGATGAGATCACGCATGTACAGGATCTTTTTCTGAGTGGGGCACCCATAAGGAACAACATAGCCAGGAACTTGGCTTTGAAGGAGAATGTCTTCATGATGGTAATCTGTATTGAGCTTAAGATTCCCCTTTTCCTAGTGGGGAAGCCCGGCAGCTCCAAATCCCTTGCTAAGATCATTGTGGCAGATGCCATGCAGGGACAGGCTGCCTTCTCTGATCTCTTTCGCTGCCTGAAACAGGTCCACCTGGTGTCATTCCAGTGCAGTCCCCATTCCACCCCCCAAGGTATCATCAGCACCTTTAAGCAGTGTGCTCGATTCCAGCAGGGGAAGGACCTGGAGCAGTATGTCTCAGTGGTGGTGCTGGATGAGGTTGGGCTGGCTGAAGACTCACCCAAAATGCCCCTGAAGACTCTGCACCCCCTGCTGGAAGATGGGTGCATTGAAGATGATCCTGCCCCATACAAAAAAGTTGGCTTTGTTGGCATTTCCAACTGGGCTCTAGATCCTGCCAAGATGAACCGAGGCATCTTTGTGTCAC